GGCGATCTTAGAGATATTGGCGCTGGTAAAGGAAAATATTATGCTGTCAATTTCCCGCTTCGTGATGGTATTGATGATGATGCATATGAAAGTATATTTCAACCTCTTATTTCCAAGGTAAATAATTTTTACAGATATTATAAATTATAAACTAATTCCATCAAATAAGTTTGATTAAATGACTCACTGATTAATTGTATTTCATATATGTGGTATTCTTCTTAGGTTATGGAAATGTATCAACCAAGTGCTGTTGTTTTACAATGTGGTGCAGATTCATTATCTGGAGATAGGCTTGGTTGTTTCAATTTAACATTGAAAGGGCATGGAAAATGTGTCGAATTTGTTAAAAAGTACAATTTACCATTACTTCTTGTTGGTGGTGGTGGGTATACAATTCGTAATGTTGCTAGATGTTGGACTCATGAAACTGCCGTCGCTCTTAACTGCGAAATACCAAATGGTATGTTTTTTTCTATTCACTTTTATTAAGAAAGTAGTTTTACAAGTCTCGTTGATTGCGAAATTCTAATAATTTTCTCACATTACTTCTCAGAACTTCCATACAATGATTACTTTGAGTATTTTGGGCCTGATTTTAAACTTCATATTAGTCCATCAAATATGGCTAATCAAAATTCACCTGAGTATCTTGAAAAAATCAAGTAAGTGTTTAGTTTAATAACAAGTAAAATCTTTAATTTGAATAATATTTAATCTAATATATTTCTTTCTTTTTCTCAACTCAATAAGGACTCGTCTTTATGAAAATCTCCGTATGTTACCACATGCTCCTGGAGTACAACAAACAGTAATACCAGAAGATGCAATAAATGATGATAGCGAAGATGAAGATAAACAAGATCCTGATGAAAGAATAAGCATTAGAGCATCTGAAAAACGTATTGCTAAAGATGAAGAATTTTCAGATTCAGAAGATGAAGGAGATGGTAGAAGAGATGTTCGCTCCCATAAACCAAGTAAACCAAAAAGAGCAAAGGTCGACGCTGTTGCTGGCAAAAAACCTGACGATGAAAAAACGGCTGAATCATCCGAAGAGACTAAAACGGAAGAAGAAGTTAAAGAATCGAGTTTAAATACAACTTCTCAATCTTCTGAACCAAGTAAAGATAGCGATTCAAGTAAAGATCAAGTAAAAGAGACACCAATGGATCAATCTGATTCAGGAGATAATGTGACTGATAATAGTACTACAAAAGAGTCATCCAGCGAATCAAAAGCTGAAGTACGGAAATCGTGAATTTAAATACTCATCTGGACTATTTTAACTATAAAATCTCAACCATCATAATTATATACATATTTATTATTTGGATCACATTAAAGCATAGAAATTGCTTAAATAACCAGATTTTTCAAGATCAATCAAAAAAACATACAACAAGCAAACGATGGATTGATTACAACTTGATTTATATTTATCATTGATTTATACTCTAAATCTAGTAGAGCTATGTCACATTTTTGTATCAAATTCGATTCATTTTGACTTGCATTTATAGAATTTCATGAATAATTCCATTATTTGTTGATCATCTTGTGCATTATACTTCAAGAATCTATTTTTTTTGTATACTGCTCACTCACCTTTCACCATCATAAGAATGCAGCCATTTTCCATCATTAAATTAAAAATTAGTTGAACCATCAATTGACCATCTTAATTCAGTTTTTATTAAACAATTTGAATAAGTTGTTGTTTTGGGTGGATTTCATTTGGGCAGAAATCTATAGTCAATACCAATTTCGGGGTTATAAACGCTGAAGCAATAAAAATAATACCGAATGAATTATATTTCTAAAATCCCGCAGGATAATTAGATTGCTAAATTAATTATAAATCATGCTTATTTAGACAAAATTTTGGGAACCGGTCTTAATCTCTTTATAGCTGTATTAATTTATGAAGGAAGATAATGAACGTTTTAATATTCTTGGACCATATATTCTAGTTAACAACATGATCTATTAACTTTTTAACTGGTCAGTTAACTTTCTAAGAAAATGTATTTACGTTAATCAATGTGATTATTTAAATAATTTATTTCTGAGCAAAAAGCTTTTCTGGTAGCAGTGAGAATAACCAACAAAAGGTAGTGAGTTTAGCTGAATAAGTTATTCTCACTCATCATTTACAGATCAAGTTGTGCAGTCAAAGTGGTAATCTGATTCCGCTCCTTCTCAACTCATTTATTGCAATTTATTAATTCATAATATTTAAATTATCCTTTATTATCGAATTGTGTTTTATTTCAATTAATAAGTGACTAATTTCTGCACAATGACAACCTCGCAACATAGTAAGAAACGTGTTTGCTATTATTATGATGGTAAGTTGTATCAGCTTTTATTACCCTCTCGTTTCCCTGTATTGCCATCTCTTTCTTTGGTCTCTCTGGTTTTTTTCTGTTCATTCTTTATTTTTGATTCATATTTCTTTTATTTCCATTTATTCATTTAAATCTTTATCTCACATATTCTTCTATTTCATTTGACAATCTATTTGTTATCTTTTCATTATAAAATTATCTTTTCCACTCTTGCTAATATTTTATGTTTTTAATCTTTCATTTTGCCGGCTGTCATCTGGATGCTGGTCCATTCATGCAATATGATTTTATATCTGATGTTTAGGGGATATTGGAAATTATTATTATGGCCAAGGCCACCCAATGAAACCTCACAGGATACGAATGGCCCATAATTTAGTCTTGAACTATGGATTATATCGTAAAATGGAAATCTACGTATGTTTTATGTTATTTTTACCTCTGTTTTCAGCGGGTAACTTATTTTAAATTCATTTCGAGTTTATTTGCTCATAATTTCTAAAAATCTCAATTCTAGCGACCACACAAAGCAACCCAAGAAGAGATGACAAAATATCATAGCGATGATTATATTCGATTTTTAAGAAGCATCAGACCTGATAATATGAGTGAATACAACAAACAAATGCAAAGATGTAAGTCACTTGTCTACGATTCAAAATTTACATTCAAATACCCAAACATAGTCATAAAAAAATTGAATTTTTCAACTATAGTGCTGAGTTGACAAACTGACTCACATGGTTGAATGAAGAATGCAATGATGCTTTGATTATACCGTTGTAAATCAAACCTAATTAAGGCAGATCATTCTTCTTCGTTAAGTTTTAAATATTCTCCATTCATTTTTAAGATACAAATAACTTAATTTTAATTAATTTTCAGTTAATGTTGGAGAAGATTGTCCAGTTTTTGACGGTCTATATGAATTTTGTCAATTGTCAACTGGTGGATCTGTTGCTGGTGCAGTAAAGCTTAACAAACAAGCTGCTGATATTGCAGTTAATTGGTCTGGTGGTCTGCATCATGCAAAAAAATCTGAAGCTTCCGGATTTTGTTATGTAAATGACATCGTTCTAGCTATTCTAGAACTACTTAAATATCATCAAAGAGTTTTGTATATTGATATCGATATTCATCATGGAGATGGTGTAGAAGAAGCTTTCTACACGACAGATCGAGTAATGACTGCTTCTTTTCATAAATATGGAGAATATTTTCCCGGTACCGGCGATCTTAGAGATATTGGCGCTGGTAAAGGAAAATATTATGCTGTCAATTTCCCGCTTCGTGATGGTATTGATGATGATGCATACGAAAGTATATTTCAACCTCTCATTTCCAAGGTAAATAATCTTTACAGATATTATAAATTATAAACTAATTCCATCAAATAAGTTTGACTCATTGATTAATTGTATTTCATGTATGTGGTATTCTTCTTAGGTTATGGAAATGTATCAACCAAGTGCTGTTGTTTTACAATGTGGTGCAGATTCATTATCTGGAGATAGGCTTGGTTGTTTCAATTTAACATTGAAAGGGCATGGAAAATGTGTTGAATTTGTTAAAAAGTACAATTTACCATTACTTCTTGTTGGTGGTGGTGGGTATACAATTCGTAATGTTGCTAGATGTTGGACTCATGAAACTGCCGTCGCTCTTAACTGCGAAATACCAAATGGTATGTTTTTTTATTATCTTTTGATTACTAGATGTTTCTTTTATTAACTTTTTATAATATTTTTTATTATTTTCTCACATTACTTCTCAGAACTTCCATACAATGATTACTTTGAGTATTTTGGACCTGATTTTAAACTTCATATTAGTCCATCAAATATGGCTAATCAAAATTCACCTGAGTATCTTGAAAAAATCAAGTAAGTGTTTAGTTTAATAACAAGTAAAATCTTTAATTTGAATAATATTTAATCTGATTAATTTATTTCTTTTTCTCCACGCAATAAGGACTCGTCTTTATGAAAATCTCCGTATGTTACCACATGCTCCTGGAGTTCAACAAACAGTAATACCAGAAGATGCAATAAATGATGATAGCGAAGATGAAGATAAACAAGATCCTGATGAAAGAATAAGCATTAGAGCATCTGAAAAACGTATTGCTAAAGATGAAGAATTTTCAGATTCAGAAGATGAAGGAGATGGTAGAAGAGATGTTCGCTCCCA